CCCCGCCGCTCCCCCCACCGGTGGTTCGGTTGTTCTCCCCGCCCCCCCCACGGCCCAGCGCAGTGGGCCGGCCCGGCCCGGCGGCGGCTTGGGCCCCGCCCGGCGGAAGTGACGCCAGGCGGAGGCCGGTGCTTCCGGCGTGCAGGCAGTGGCGGCCCGGCAGGAGGAGCCCGGGGCGCCGCTCCCTGCCTCCCCCGCCCGGCCGCGCTCCGCCGTGCCCGGTAAGTGCGGGGGGCTGGGCCGCGTTGCGGGGCTGGGGTGGTGGTTGGGGGGGGTTCCCGGTGGGGCGGCTTGTGAGGCGGGGGCGGGGAGAACGGAGGCGCCCGGTGAGCGCCGCCGCCGCCTGCCGGGCCCCGTGTCCCTCAGCGGGAGGCGGCGGGGCCCGGGGCGGAGCGAGGCCGGCGGGAGGGGGCGCGGGGCCGCTTCTCTGTAAGTTCCGCTGAGTTCGGCGGCCGGCAGCGCTCCGCCCCGCACCCGGTGCCCGGGTCGGGCCGCCCCGGGGGAGAAGCCGCAGCCCGTGAGCTCTCAGGCCGGTTCCCCCCTTCGCCCCGCCGCCGCCCTGGCTCTCCCTCCGCAGCTCCCTTCGCTCCCCCGCTTCTCCTGGGCTTTCTTCCCGCAAGCCTGCGGTGTCCCGGCCGTGTGGGATAAGCGCGGGATTTAGCCCGACCCGAGTCACAAAAGAAATGGATTTTGAGGGAATTTAAACGAGCCGGGTCCGTTTCTGCCCCAGCCCGTGGAAGGGAGGCTCGTGTGGGTACGAGTGAAATAACTTGTGAAAAGTGATGGTAGATGAGAAAGGAGGGGAATGGAAGGGGTGAGAGGAGTCGGGGAGGACGAGGCAGTCGTGATAGTGTGAACAAAGGCTGGGAGGTGGGAGGAGAGCAGGCAGCTTCACGGGGGAGGTGTGATATGGCTGCAAGGAGGTCTCTGCAGAGTCATCTGTGGTGAAAAGGATGGGGGGTGTTGTTCTAGTTTCTCGCTCTTGGGATGAAAAATTTCTATCCAGGAACCTTGGTGGGGAAGGAAACGGCAAGGTATGCGTGCTGCGTGTGTGAAGAAGCAATTGAGGATGCTCCAGAGATTACAAGTTTGAGGGACATAAACATAATGCAATTAACGTCGATAGCGAGTGTGGAGTTGGGGTTGTAGACAGTTGCAGAGAAAAGAGAGTGCCAGGCCATTTGAAGTTTTCGTGGATGAGTAGTTCAGGAGGCAGACTCGAGTTAGACTTTCCTGTGTCGCAATGATCAGTAGAGAGGTGAGAAAAAAAAGCCATCACAAATGGCTGTGAAATATCAACAGAAAACGTAGGAGTAGCCTACAAACCACTTACTGGAGAAATCCCAGAAAGGTAGATACAGAGGAGAAAAAAGCAGGAAAGAATGGTGCAGTAGGAAAAGGTGTGAAGTGGGATAATGTAATTTACTGTGTCTGACAGTGTTGAAGTCAGAGAGAGACTGATGGTGGCATATTTGATGGTATTTTGGTTCAAGAGGCCTTGTTAAGAAGAATTGTGTTGCAAGGCAGGAGTCAGGGAGAGAGGGCATCTCCGTTAGAGCTGACGGGCAGCAGAGCCCCTGCAAGGGGGCTGGAGGAAGAGAGGGAATAAAATTGTATCAGTGTTAGTGAAGATGAGGGAATATCTTGGATGAAGGTGGTAAGAAGGACCTCATCCTCCCATGGGTAGGACAGTGATCTAAATATGGTTTAAAACTTTATAATCTGATTTTTTGGGATTATGGTAATTATGTAATCTAAATACTGTTTAGTTTTTTTGACCCTCTTTTTTGAGCTTAACATCTTTATTGTCTTAAAAACTAGTGTTGCCAAGTATCAGCTGTGTCTTGTCTTAGGTTGTATTCAGAGAGTTTGTATTTGTCACTGGGTCACGAGGGCATTAGCCTGACCATTAGGTGAGTTGAGTTCTGTTCCTTGTTTTCCTAGTATCCTGCTTCATTTCATCCACAGAGCGTGTATCTTAGTCTTCCTCTCTCTTCACACGTGTCCGTCTGACGTTCAGTTATGCTGAAAGGGAGCTCTTTCCGAGAACGTTGTGACAGGAGCCACAGAAGTCATCCAGTCTCCAGACTGTTTTCTGCTTGATATATCCCATTTGCCCATGCAAACAGTTCCTCTGTTTGTTCAAATAAGTGTGTTAGTGCACAGCGAAAGGGCTCTGTGCTCTTCTGAGCCTCCTCCCCAGCACCTGGTGTGTAACTGCTGAGGTACCGGGTAGGCCCATTGTTCTGCTTAGATATCTAAAAACATCTCCTTGCTTGGGCAGGACTCGCTGTGTGTTGAGATACCAAATGGACCCAGTGTTTTGGGTAGGGTTTTTTCCTGTCTGTAGTGTGTGGGATGATCAGAGTGAGTTTGAGAAGTTTCCTGACTGGTGAGACTTGCTCAAGCTTTGTGATGCTCTGAGGTTGGCTGGAGGAAGCTGTTGCACACTGGGCTAGTGATATCTCTGGAGCAGTGCTCACAGTGGAGTCTCAAATAAGTTATTCCTTTAACATAAGGTTTAACAGGTAAAGATCCATTACTTCTTTTATGCAAGAGGTCAGTGTCAATACAGATTAAGCCCAAAAGTGACTTGTTAACCAGAAGCAGGGTAGAGGGAGGGAGGGAGGAACATGCAATATAGGTTTGCGTTCTGTCTTTCAAATCAGATTTCATATCTGTCTCCTTCCAATACGGAGAGATGGTGCCTCTGCTCCACTGAAGTTCTGCAGGAAGCAGAGCTGTAAAATATTTGTGTGCTACTTCTGTTGTGGATAGTGAGGAAATCAAGAGGCAAATGAAAGGAATGGAGACCAGAATTCAGGGGATAATATAATTAGCTCCCAGCTTTCATCCTCTCTCACTGGAGGTTTATATCTGCTGAAATCACTGCAGCCCCTCAAATTAATCGTACATCACATCTCTTCCTGGTTATTCGTTGCTGCCTGGTCAGATTAGTGGAAACAAAAAACAAACGACTTGAGGAAGAATAATGAAAAATTATGGTTGAGATTTCCTGTGCTCTAAAGTCAGGATTTTCAAAGCTTGATTATGGTTCCCTCAGCAGCTACAAATTGTGATACTGGGGGAATATGTTTGAGGAACAGAGCTAACAACATAGTACCCCAAAATGCAAACATGTAAGAAAGCCAATACATGTTGCTTATGCAAAATATAGCTTTGATCTTATGTATATATTTTTATATGTAAAATTTGATTGCAGCATTGTTTTGAGTCTTTATTTAATACATTCTTTCTTGAAACTCAATTATTTGGTTAAATGAAAATTTTTGACTAAATGTAAGATGACCATAATTCAAGGTTGGTATGTGCTCTACTGCTGAACCTCTTAGATCTTGGCTTCGTGCTGGTTTAGTTACACAAGCAGAAGTTTAGTAGTCCTGATAAGGAAACTCAAATATGTGAATTTTCCAGTACCAGTGAGAATCTAAAAAAAATTGGCTGTTCTGATTCTTCTTGAATAGCAGCTGTCAACACTTGAGCATAAATTTCCACGTTCAGAAGGTAATAAGTGTATATTGAGAAGGTAGTAAAATGAGTTTCTTTTAGTTCCCCCTGCAGATGTAAAGCCCAAGCCACATCACATCCAGCAGAACCTACTTAAAGGCGTTAGCTAATTTCACCATTTCTTTTGAGACGGTACTGAAGGCTGTTAAATTGGGAGTGAGAGATCTTGTCTTATTTTTCAAAGTCCCACCTAATGGCTGTGGTTCTGAAGCACTCTAGACTTGTTCAGGGTATCACAGGTTGTCTTTCTAGCTACTGTGGTCATAGTTAAGGGGTTTGTGTTTTTTCCTGTTGGTGAAACGGATGTGATGCTTTTCTGCAGCACTTTGGGCTCTTGGTAAAAACTGTCATAAATCTGCTTGTACCTCTGAAAAGGTCTGTGGTGAAGGTTACGGAGCTGCTTGCCAAATGTCAAAAGTCTCGGGGCTGGCACTGGGGGCGAGGATGCCCTGTAATAAGCTGGTCTCCAAGGCTTTAGACCTTGTCTGTAAGGGCAGCCTTGGCTTTGCAGGTGCAAGAGTTGCAGTGGATCCACATCAGGGATGTGCACAGCAGAATCTTCTTTAGCTGGGCTGTTGGGTTGGTCCATTCCTGGCTGTTTGATCACCTGTATGATGTTGATGTGGCCTCTCTTACGGTTTCTTAGGCAACAGAAAAAATTGTTTTTCCCCCTTTAGGAGACAGAGCTCAGATGAAATCAAAAGAACGATAAAGTTTGGAGGAGAAAAAGAAGCTGCAATTGCTTTCCTGGTCTGCAGTTTGACAGGGCATTAAGATGTCCGTGGACATGAACAGCCAGGGCTCTGACAGCAATGAAGAGGATTATGACCCTAATTGCGAGGAGGAGGAAGAGGATGAGGATCCTGGGGATATTGAGGATTATTATGATGGGGTAGCTAACGACGTGGAGCAGCAGGGAGCAGATGCCTTTGATCCAGAGGAATATCAGTTCACCTGCCTGACTTACAAGGAGTCGGAGAGCACTCTGAATGAACACATGGCCAGCTTGGCTGCCACGTTAAAGGTGAGGAAAGGTTTCTGAATTAACACAGGTGTAAAATAAGTCTGTGATTGAAAGGGCAAATGCTGAGCGTACTGTTGGAAATAAAAGCTGTGGTGATATTACTGTTATGCGGGGTTGGAGGAACATCATTGAAGGTCCTCAAATGTTTAAAATTGTTGCATACTGCTTCTGGGCCTGAAAAATCTTCCTTACTGAGTGTTGATTCTTACAATTCATTTTTTTTACAGAGCTGAGCTTCATGACCAAAATTCCTGAGTTACAACTCTTTGTATTAGCCACAGTGCAAAGAGGATAGATAGAAAAGAAACAAACCAAATCATAAATGGTGCAGGTTGGTACACCTGTGTTTGAGAAGATAACTGACAGATAGGAAGACATGCTAAGACTCTGTAATTCTAACAAAAACACCTTTCTTTGTTGGTTCTGAGAGAATAATCATAGACTTTCAAAAAGACAGATCAGCTGTCATGCCAGGTATTAACCCTACTGTTGCAGTGACAGCAATTAAAGTACAATGAACTTGCCAGCTCTTGTAGTGACTAATTCATCACGGAAGAGTCAGCTCCATGCTGTTATGCTCAGTAAGACTTTTGTGAAGTTTTCTTTCTCTTTGTGCAGCTGATTACTGTAGTGCAGACTAGGAATGAAAAGAGGTTCCCTCTCTGCCTTGCCAGTGTGCTTCAGTGCCAGTGCAGGTCAGAGGAAAGCAGTTTCCCAAGCTCTAGGTGTTTGAATTAGCAGTGCATCTACTTTGTCACGGGTCTCCTAGTGCTTGTTCTCTGGAACAAACCCTGAAAGCAGGATGGGGGACCGCAGCATATAAAAACTCATATTGGATAGATTTTGCTTCCTATTAATTTGGTCTGAATCAAACCTAATTAAAAAAAAAAAAAATGAGAAGGATCTCTTGATGCTTTTTTGCACATTGGAGTGTCCTATAGAAATAGTGTAACCATAAACCCCAAGGACTATAAATCCTATAAACAATAGGTTCTAAAGTGCACCCATACTTTTTGCTGCATCTCTACCTGGTTTTGCCATCTATTGTGCTTGTTCCCAGCATTCACCACCTCAGAAAATGAAGTTTTGGTCTTTCTTGACCGTCAAACTCTTGTCTGTGATTTCTTCAACCAGCTCTGAATGCCTGCTGTTTCCTCCAGGTTGTAAGAAAGGGGAGGCAAAAGAAAAGAACAAATATGTAGAGTTGGTCAGCACTTTTGATCCAGGTGTCGGTTGCTCTTGGTTCTTAGCGATTAAGTAAAGATTTAGAATGGCTTTTCTGCTCCTTACTGTTTGCCTTAAAATGGAGCACACTTCAAACAGGTGACCCCTGCCATATTGTTCCCTTGAATTAAATTAACAAAAGCAATACTGTATTTAGGCTTTAAAATCAGGCTTCCAAAGTTAAAATAAGTTTTCTAAGAATTCTGAAGGTCTCATTGAGCAAATATTGTAGTTGATCAGATAATACCAACCTGTTAGCTCAAATCTGGCCCCAAATATGACCCAAGGAGAGAACATTTTAGATTCCTTCAATACCAAGAATATGCTTGTGTATTTGCTTAAAAAAAAGAAGTGCTACACATTTTGGGTTGTGCATGAGAAGATAACAATAAATCTGGGTACAAATCTGAAAAACTGTGATCTTGTAAGCTACACACTCTTAAGTCTTTAGCTCTTGAAGTGCCACAGGAACTCTCTGTTTGCTAGCAACAGTGGTGCAAGAATTGCACTTTTCTTGGAAATCTGTTGTGTATCTGCAGCATGTGCTTTTTGTTTCCTGGCATCCTTTCTCATAATACTTCAGCAACCCTGTTTCTTCCTTCCCCACTCTTCCCCCAAGGAAACTTGTCATTTCGTTAGTTTTCTGAGACAAACTGGAGTGGAAAGAATTTGTGTTGCATTAGCAAGCATGGAGAAGAAGGAAATTGAATAGAACATGTTGAACTATTTGTTATCCTTATTTTCCATTGACTTGATGGACATGAATAAACAGGGACAGACTTTTGCAAGATCTGTGTTCTTTCCTCTAATTTGCTTGAGCTCTGAACACTTTTTTTTTTTTTTCCTTTTGAAGGCTACCTTTCCTAATGTTCTGGGTTTTTTGGATAGCAGTGATTGTTCTTTTGTCTCTTGGAACACGAGTTCAGTTTGTTGATTTCATCCTCTTTCCCTGGTGACAGCTACTGGTTATGTGGTGCTTTTCAGCATTAGCTCCTAGTTAAGGCAGAGTGGTTGCCCCTGACAGGGCAAGAAGGAGGGAAATTAAAGACTGTCTTCAGGAGATTCGATGTTGAAGGCAACTCGTGACATGGTATCTGAGCAATTTGCTAAATAAATAGACTAATACAATTCCCTAAAGCAAAGAAAAAATGAATGCAATAAATGGGCTCAAAGCCATGTTTGAATGTTCTGTCACTGTGTATTGTCATTAAGTGATTCACTTTCTGAAGGTTAAATTGGGAGGGGTGTGTACTGAGCGTGGTTTTTCTCAGTGGCATATTGTCAACAAACTCTTAAACCCAGAAACAAATATTCAGAGCCTTACATCTTCATACTTGCAATCTGTACAGTTTTTGGTTAATAACAATCTAGATAAATAGTATTTAATTTGCTCTGCTTATTAACCCTCAACGTGTTTTGTTGGTTTTTTTTTCAACTTTCAGCTATTTCAGGCTGATTGTTGAATTCCTATTTTCTTAAAAGCGTCAAGGCAAAGGGTGGTTTTCCTTGGAAACCCTCTTGGTTACCTTTTTTCATTTCTCGTCAGAAGCAGATGACCTTGTTCTTGCTCCTACTGAAGCTAAAGAGCAACTAAACAAACCTTGCATTGGCTGGTTAACTTCAGGTCAGGTGTTGAGCACCCTGTGTATGGTTAAAAGTTTGAATGCGACATCAGAAGAGAAGATGGCCTCTTTGACAAAATGTTTGGGTTTTTTATCTACCCCAGTTAAAAACAAAAATAGGTTAAAATCTTAAGTCTGATAAAAGCATGAAACCCAGCATGCAGGTAGTTGTGTGCCCTTGTATCTCTTACCAGCATAGCAAACTTGTACCTTCAATTCTTCTGACTTGCTTTTTATCAAGTGAGGAATTCTGAATAGAAAAACTAACACAAACGAGTTTGCAGTAGATACAACCAGCTGTGCTGCGGGGCCTGCAGCTGAAGTGGTGGTCATCCCAGAACCATACAGAAGCTAGAGGGACGTCACAAGTGGTACTCGGAAAGTTCCTCTTCACTTTGGTGTTAGTAAGAACTCCGTGTGGATCCTTGCTTTCCAGGAAAAAGAGGAGGAAATGTTTGCTCCTTGATCGGTGCTGTTAAACTGGAGGTCTGTTTGTGGAGGGTTCAGGTAATACTCTGACCAAAATTAGGACAGGCTATCTCTGTTAAAACATGCCAGAAGAAAATCTCAAACTAATATTATCTGAAACTGTGATTCTTTGACCAAAAGAATGGAAGCAAATCAGGTTTAATTCCCCAAAAGGTCACTTGACCAACACTCAACATTTATTAAGGGCAATACTCTTCAAAGCAGAATGGCATCTATTGCCTGCAGACCAGCTAAGGAATTTACAGGAGTTCTTTTTAAAAAGCAGATGTAATTATAAAATCCAGTATTTTTCAAATATAATGAATTAAAGTTGTGCAGTAATAAATGTACAGTCACTGAGTGATTGCGGGTCCTGGAGTGGCAGTATCAGTACGTGCACACAAACAGTACCATACTCAACAGTTGTACAAACAAAGTTGACCCTGTCACTGGCGGGCAATTAAGTGTGTGATGATGTCATATTGTTTTTGTTTGTGAATGACACTTCCTGGCTCTGCTGAGGGTCTCTGTACGAGTCTGGAATATCTGTGATGTTCCAAATAACTGCAGTATTTTCTCTGTTTCAGAGATGAGATGAATCTTTCTAGTTTTTACAAATTTTTTTTTGACTGGTGATATAAACCACTGGATAAAAAATTGCAGTTGCAATTTAGAAAAAATGCTACCTTGACTTTAGGTCATTTTAGAAGCTGATTGTCAGTCATGAGGAAGATAAGGTATTTCTGCATGTACAAGGTAACAAGGCAAGATGGTCATGTTGTTTTACAGGCGGTTGATAATAATGTAGGCTTTCCACTAAAACCAAAGGAATTGTGAAACTGAAGAACTTAATTTTTTCAGTTTGTTTATGTGAGTAATCTGCTAATACTTACCAGACAGCAAAAATCTTACTTCCCTTGCTTCTTGAATTAACAGCTTGTGATGTGTGGTTTGTTGTGTTGTTGTTTTTTTTTTTTTAGCCCTGAGCCATGAAGAATAGAACTTGGTAGATGCAAAAAGTATTTGATGTCATGACGTGGTACTGAACCTATTAATCCATGTTATCACTACACATCTTTCAGAGATAAACTTTTTTTTTTTTGTATATTCTTGCTCACCTGATTGATGTCACATCTTTTAATGCGGCCAAATTAGTATTTGCTCATAAAAACACAGCATTTGCTCATGAAAACACAGCCCTTTGAAGCTGTTCCACGCGCTCAAATTGCGCTGACACAGAAGGGTTGGTCTGTGGAGCTGCTTGGTGACTGCTGGCACCGGGCCTTCCCAAATACCATCTTCAGCAGATCCGGAGTCATGTGCGTGGAGAGGCTGGCAGCCTGCTCTGCCCAGAGGGGCTTGGTGCTCGCAGGACTCCTCCTGGGTGCCATCACAGAAGTTCCCTAAAGAGCCTGATGACAAGACAGGGGCGCGTGTGGCTCCCCGTATCGCTGAGCAAACGGCGGCCGAGCGTGTGGTGTGGGGTGTTTATCTGAGCAACCCTGCACCGCTGCACAGTCAGCCTTTTTGGTGCTATAATGACATCATGAAACATATATGCAACGTGAAATGGCAGCCGTAAAAGACTGGCTGCACCTAAGTACCTCAAGTGCAGGTATTCAGGCCCCTTGAAATATTAAAATGCATGTGCATAAGAAGAGGGTTTGAAAAATTTAATGGTCAAAG